AACTAGGCATAACAAGCCCACACTTAAGGACCTGGGTAGATGTGGAGCGAGCGAAAGCACAGACCAGCGTACAGCCGATCGCGCTGCCACTAAAGAGACAGAGGAGCTTGCCAGAGCTCGCGTACAAGATGAAAAAAAAATACTTGAGCCTAAGATTATGTTAAATGAACAGTAGGTACGGCTATAGCTCTCGTGGCCGTTAGTGACCCGTAAGCTAGCGCTGTTTTTAGCTCTAGTTCGGTGCAGGGTTATCAAAGCCCACACAAGCTCATTCCCCTGTTCAACGAGACAAGAGATGAGTTGGATGCATATGTCCAGCGATTTGAAAGAATGTCGAACAGCCAAGAATCGCCAGCCGATAAATGGGCTCTCTCTCTCAGATTGTGCTTAACGGGAGAGGCTTTGAGCACAGTGAGTATATTGGCGGCTGATGACGCATTGGACTACGCTAAGCTGAAGCAAACCCTTATACAGCGTTTTCGATACACCGAGGAAGGGTGCAGGGAGAAATTCCGGAATTGCAGAGCGGCGAACTCTGAAACAGGGAGACAGTTTGCTGCTCGTCTCGCCGGGTATTTCGGCCACTGACAGCAAATGGCGAAGACGGAGCGTAATTATGAGGACCTCCGGGGTGTTATTATATAAGAACAGTTTCTTCGGCGATGTCATGAGAAGCTGGCAGTTTTCTTGTAAGAAAGAGGCTGCGGACCATTACCCCGGAGCACAGGGTCTGATCAACCTTGGAAGAAGCAAAGAAGATATAACTGCGAAATCCTGCAGCGCAATCGGGAGTACCAGACAGAGAAAATACACAGGGGAAATTTCAGTGTTTTCTTTGTATTAAGTTGGCGCATAGAGGGGCCGATTGTTGGTCAAAGACGAGGCCACCTAATTCAAAGGGGCCTACGTGCTCGAAATGTCGCAAAGTTGGTCACAAAGAGGACACGTGCTCTTAAGGCACTGACACAGGTGGCCAAGCCTTATGCAGTATGACCGCTGAAAGTGGCCTAAGGGCTTTTGATACAGAGGCCACTTCCACAAGTGGCATTTATGTTGAGACGAATGGTGAAAAGTACACTAAATCGCAAGGGAACAGAATGCCAATGGCCGAAGGCGTAGTCGAGGGGCAGAGCGTGACTGTTTTACGGGACACTGGATGTAATTCAGTTATAGTCGGGCAGTCATTGGTGCCTGAAGAAAAACTGACAGGAAATAGTCATGTGATTACTTTGCTACACCGGTCGGTCATGCGTCTATCTGAGGCTGAAGTAAACCTCAGCTCCCCATTTCTTGCCGGTAAAGTAACGGTGATATGCATGAAGAACCCACTTTTTTGATGGCATTGTGGGAAAAGTTGAGGACGCATATGAACAGCTAAAGCGGATGCTTTCTGGCCAGCCAGTATTGAAGGCCCCTGACTTCACAAAGCCATTCGTTCGGCGCATGGATGCCTCACCTGAAAACGTGGGAGCTGTCTTCATGCAACGCCCTGACAGAGTTCTTCATCCCGTGGTATACGCAAGTCGCCAGCTGCTGGAACGCGAGAAAAAGTATTCGACCATTGAACGAAGGGTCTGGCACTTTTGTGGGCAGTCAAAACGTTTCACGTGTTCTTGTTCGCCAAATAGTTCGTTTTGCAATGCGACCGTGAGCCTCTTCCCTATATAAACACGGCGAGGCACGTCAACAATCGTGTGCTGCACTGGAGGTTTGACTCTCATGAAATATGAGTTCACCGTGCAATAGATAAGGGCAGCGGCAATGTAGGGGCCGACTACATGAGCTGGGTGTAATCATCATATCGCATTTCGTGTTTGAGTGAGTGTGCCCTCCTGTCATGCTATCTATCAACTGGAATGTGCATCTCATTGCACTAGGTAGCACTTATTTTGTGTTTGTGTACGAGATTTTGTTACGGTATACATGCGTGCGATTCCATGTGGTCTGTTGAAGTTGTTTTATACTCACATTGTGTGCGCGTCGCGCTTCAAGTGAACTGGGGAATGAACCACTGTGTTTGTGTCCTTGTCTGGCCGTATTAGCGCCATCGGCAGTGCTCTAGTGAAAGTTCTGCCCCCGGAAACTTTCTTAAGCGGGGGGTGATTGTAGTGATTGGAATGCTTCACTGGAAGACACAAGATGCTTGCCCGCAAGGCAGCAGTAAGACGCAATTGTCCCAACAGACGCTGACGTAATTGCATCACGTAGCCGTATGAGGTCATCGCTTCGCTGTCGGCGTGATCTCCTGTCCACAGTTACTTTGAAATGGCCATTGGTCCCCGGACATAACGACCGTACAGCAATTTGAACGGTGCAAACCCCAAGCTGCTCTGAGGTACCTCTCGGTATGCAAACAGCAGTGGGGCCAGGTATCGGTCCCAATTCTTCGGACTTGGCACATTCGGCGGATCATCTGCTTTAGTGTCCTGTTAAATCGCTCCAAAAGCCCATTGGCAATAGGGTGACAAGGGGTCATCGGGAGCTGCTCGAAAGAGAGCAGCCGGCTCAATTGATTCATAACCCGTGACATGAAAGAGGTTCCCCGTTCACTGATTATTTCTCTTGGAATCCCCACGCGAGAGAACATCTCTAGAAGGGCCTTGGCGATCCTCTCTGTCTCAATGATTGGCAGGGCGACAGCATCCGCATAACGAGTCGCGTAGTCAACCATGGTAAGTACGTATCGCTTTCTCTTTTCGGAAGTTGGTGACAATGGACCAACAATGTCAATAGCAACTCAATGGAAAGGAGTTTCTACTATTTGCAGGCTTCGAAGTGGCACCCGACCAACTAAGTGCTTCGGTAGCGTTCTTTGGCAAGTCATTCTCTTCGCATAGCACACCTGTGGGCGTGACACAAAAGTACCATACTTCTAGAGATTTTGGTTGGAGGTGCACAACGACATAGGTTGATATTTATTTGTCACCACTGTTGTGAAATTTTATGATGCCCGTTTACACTTTCCTGATTAGAACGTGGTGAGATTCGACCTAGCAAGTTTTGATATTTGTCATGATGCCAAAATGGCCTAGTTTTGAGAAAATACTTTACTTAATTGTGTTATTCGCAGTAAAATAGAATAAAGAAGTTTTCGAATTTCAGTCAGTAATGAGATGCTTGTTTAAAAATTGTTTCTTTTAAAACTATAAGCTGGTTTCAAGTGATTAGCGGGGTATCACGGGTGCACCACCGGGGCCAATCAGCAGCATCTAGTTGTAGCAAGCGCGCCGCATCTCCACTATGATTCCCCCCCCCCCCCAAATACAATCAAAAGCAGTAGAGGAAAAAAAGTGCAGTGTTATTTATTTGTTTATATCAGAAATACTACCAGCCTCACGCATGATGCACTATGTAGGGGTAGGTGACACATAATCAAAGGTAACATACAACAGGAATACAACAAAAAAAGAAAACATACAAAGCGTAGCTATATCAGCGAGAACTAGTGCATCAAAGGGAAACGCCAGCGCTTACACAATTACAGGGATTCTCACTTACACGCAAGGGGAAAAAGTAGAAAAGGAAGAGAGCAACACAAAAGGAATTCCGACAAGCATCTGCTCATACAAAACAGAAAAAGTAACCGTCATATAACATGGCACTAAAATCTGGAACGCTTCAGGACACAATGCATTGGTCACAAGCATACCATCATAATATTTTACGTTTATGAGAAAGTGGTAGAGGGTGAAGCATGAATTTAAGCCTGTTCCGAATACCTGAGGAAATATTAGAAGGCGAAGAGAAAAGGAACATAAAAGTCATGTGGGATTCCAGTGTTTTAGTTTTGCCATGAACGAATGAACATTTGCACTGTTTATCAAATCAGCAGACAGAGCATTTCATTTGGTTACAGTGCGCGAAAAAAAAGAGTTTTTAAATACTTTTGTTTTACATAAACGCTCTTTCAGTTTTTTTTGGATGCTCAGAACGAGTTGATCAGCTGTGAACAGTTTCTATATACGCATCCTTGTTGATGCGCAGCTTTTAGCGTTAAATGTATACTTCAATTGATCGTGTTGCCATCTTGCCTGTAATTATCTAGGTCAGCTCTTTTTAAAGATCACTAGGCGACTTAACGTAACTCTAGCAAATATAAACAAACCGGATATCTTTCCTTTGAATGATTTCGAGTGTTCTCATATTTACTTGACTGTGAGCATTCCAAACTACAGATGAGTATACTTAAAGATCGGAAGAATAAAAATTTTACACGCAATTGCAACTTTGGGGTAAATTTACGCAAAGAATGTCTTACAAATTCAAATTTCTGCATAAAGTTCTTTTCAATATAGACAACATTCTCATTGCACCTGAAATCTGCACCTAATGCAACCACTAAATGTTTAAAAGTGTTAACAAATGATAGTTTTTTACCATTAATGAAATGTGGATGTTGCAAAGGAAGCCGCTTGCGTGTTACAGTCATAGCTACCGTTTTCTTTTCATTAACCTTCATCTGCCACACTTCAGACAAAGAACATCTTTTTATGATCGCTGCTTGAAAAAAAAATCTGGTCATCTTCACTACGTATTTCCTGACAAGGAATGCATTCATCGGCGAATGACTTAGTAGTAACCGGACTGTCATGGGTTACGTTATGTGATCGTCACGTTATAACAATAGGTACCGATAATTTCTGAGTCAGTAGAACAAAGAGAATTAGATTTTTGTGAAAACGTCCAAGTAATCAAATTCATTTTCGCGTTTAGATTTTTTTTTTCGTTACACCGTAGTATTTCAAGTAGCTTTCCAGGATAGGTAAAAAAAGCACAGGTTGAATTTTTTGGACCTAATCATTTCTGTCTTTTTGTTTAGTAATCAGTTATTGATGGTGGTATATGTGTATGCCTCGTGTTCGATGCCCGTTGATAAAGCCATGATACGCAAGAGTATTTTTGTTGTCGCCACATTATTTATCACGTCAGACCTAACATTTCAACTTACGGTGATTGCCCATTGGTTTTGCTCGCGAGCAAAAACTTTTTTTTTGTTGCAGAACGGAGTCTATTCTACTGCTGGCTGCGTACGTGGTGTATGCGGTGTTCATGTGTTTCGACAGCAAAGCTGAGTCATTTTTCGTGCGACACCTGGCTTTCCTGCGTGACGAACCGCCACCGCCGTCCAGTGCAGCAGCGAACACGGAGCTGGCGGTGCCACCGTCGGTCTGCCGCCGTGCCAGCCGCGGCCTCGTGCTCACCACACTCAACAGGGCAGCTTCGTCAGCAGTGCCTCGAGCACGTAGCTTGGATGCGCAGAGTGCCAAGCCGCCGCCACCGCCACCACGCCGTAGCCTCGCGTTGGACCCCAACCGACGGCGGCTGTCGCTCATATCGCTGCGCAGCCGCACTGGTAAGTACCCTCGTTAAATTCCTTTCTCAGTTTCTGTCTCGCAGACAGATGACGACACCTGTCACGGTGGTCTAGTGCTGACCAAGTCGCGAAATGAAATCCCGACCGTGGCGACTGATTTCCATTGAGGCGAAAATGGTTCAGACCCGTGGGCTCAGATTTAGGTGCATGGTCAAAATTGCCGGAGTTGTCCACTGCCGCGTCTGGCATAATTTATATACCAGATGATAGGCAATTGCCTATTTTGTTCCTTGCGTTTCTATCGTGCCATTTTGATATATAAGCATGAAGTAGGGGTTAATAAGTGCTTTTATAGTGCTTTTATAACGCCCATAAATGGCAATTTTGATGTTTGTGCCTAAATTGTTACTATTGCCTATAAATGCCTATTTTCAAAAATGAAGGAACCCTAAAGCTTCACCTCTAGGAATTGAACGCCTGTTCCTAGTGCGTATTTCTGTTCCTAGTGCGTATTTAAACACTCAGTGCATGAAACCTTTTCGAACTTGCTATGCCCCCACTACATGGTCTTAATAGAATAGGCGCAGTAGTCGGGTACCGGCTTTTAACCACGGAGCCATTATAATAATCGCATATTTTGACGCTCGTTGGCAGTGGATGCTTGTACCAGGCGTTTTACTGCAACATTTCATGGTGCAGCGTCAAGCATGTATACAGGACGCGTGTTTGTAAAGCATGAAAGCTATACCTTCACTGCATTTCTAAGCAGAGCAAGTTATTTTCACTCGATTCACTAGCGCGTGGTCGTCTGGTAGGACACCCGCTTGCCACGCTAACGGCCCGGGTTCGACCTCTACATGAACCCAAACAACACTGGTTCAGTACGCACTCTGCTCCAGGATTTTTTAAGCATGGTATTTGCATCGTTCTCAATTTTCCAATCCCGCGTAAGATGATTTTTCGCTCCCAAACAATGCCGACACCAGCGCCGGAATTTCTGCGAAACCAGCTCTTAAACGCTATCGCGTTAAAATCGGTGCCCATATGAACGCTATTTACCCTCAATTTTTACTTTCGAGTACAGTCGGAGACCCGTAGCATGCATGTTACTAGACAAAATTAAGCTTTCGCAACTCTATTGGTTGATACCTACACTCCATCTCAAAAGTTTCTCTCGGCACTGTCAAGGTTACAAGAACCCTTAGCCAATAGAAAAGTTGATTAGCCTCTACACATGCATGCATCCTCGTCGCGTTCTCTGCTGGGTACTTCTCCGGCGTCTTCACGGACGCGTAGGGAAGAGGAAGTGCTTCTGTGCAGCCGTCGGACGATGAAGAGGAAATTCGAAACCATGTAGTGGGTCATTAGGAGAAAGTATAGAGTGTATGTAAAAAAAATATGTCCACGCTGTTTTTGCTTTGTTATCTACTTCTTAAACGGCGCTTCACATGTTGACACGAGAAATATGTTGCGCACCCAATGAAAAGCTCTGTACCACAAAAACTTTTTAATTAGTTTATTACGAGCCACGAAAGTGCGATGCGAGGAAGTAAGCTTGAGATCTTTGTCACTCTCCCTCGACGCCCGTTTCAACCGGGTCAACGCCGTGCGCCCCACTGCTGCTTCGCATTACATCAGGCTTCCCTTCGGGAAGATAGTCCAAATTTTTTTAATAAATATGTAGTGTCATATATTATCGGAAGGCAAAATATAGTAAAAAATTTAGAGCTCAACTTCAGCTTCATATATTGTATGCGAATTTATTATCGCCAACAGCCGGTTACACGTGAAAGAGCAAAATAAATTAATGCCCCTGGATTAATTTTTTAGAGACAACCAGCCCTACTACGGACATGTGTAACTAAAACTTCCGTGCTTGTCTATTAACGTGATAGCGTTAATGAGCTTGTTTCGCAAAAGTTCCGGCGTCAGCGTCGGTGCTATTGGTTGGGAGTGAAAATTCACCATTACAGTGTAACGAAAAAATCGAGAAAGATGCAAATAAAATAATAAAAAAAATTCTGGTTCTTTGTGGGGATTCAACCCGGGTCGTTTGTGTGGCAAGCGAGTATTTTACACAGCCACGCCTCTGCTTCGGAATACATTTTAAATAACTTCCTCTGCCAAAAAGTGCAGTACAAGTAACTCATGCTTTACAAACACACGCGCCCTGTATACATGATTAAAATTACAACATGAAAAAAATTGGGAGAGCCCAAAGCTTCGCCCTTAGGAGTTGAACGTGATAGTGATATCCTGTTCCTAGTGCGTACTTCAAATGCTTCGTGCATGAAACCTTTTCAAATTTGCTATGCACCCACTACGTGGCAATAAGGAAATAGACGCAGTAGCGTGCGTGCCTTTTGTAGTGGGGTACTGCCTTTAAACCACGAAACTATTTTACAATCACATGTTCTTGCTTTGCACCCACTACGTGGCCTTCAAAGAATAGCTGCATGTGGGCTTTTTGTAAGGGGAGACCTGCTCTAAACCATGGAGCCATTATGATAATCACGTTTTGACGCCACTGGCAATAAAATGCTTGCAACACGCATAATTACTGCAATATTTCATGTTGCATTGTTAAGCATGCATACAGGATATGCTTGTTTGTAAAGCATGAAAGCTACTTTCACTGCATTTCCAAGCTGGGGAAGATAATTGCACTGTGTTCAAAAGAAGACCCGTGGCCGTGTGCACAGCCTGTTGTGCAAACGGCCCTGGTTTGATTACCACTTGGGCCTAAACGACCCTGCTTTGGCCCAACTCTGACCAAGAACTTTTTTATCATTTATTTGATTTCAATCGTTCTCGATTTTTTGGTCACGCGTAAGTTGATAATTTTTAGCTCACAACCAAGGACGCTGCGAAATTTTTACAAAACGAGGTCTTTAACGCTATGGCCTTAATATTGCCGTAATAATGCGTGGTACAAGGGTATATTGTTATCACGCGTCAGAACATGGGATTATTATGACTTCATACTTTAATGCTAGTCACCCACTACAAAAGTCACATAACCTACTGTTCCCTTGATTGGTATGTGGGGTTTAACGTCCCAAAACCACCATATGATTATTAGAGACGCCGTAGGGGAGGGCTCCGAAAAATTCGATCACCTGGGGTTTTTTAACGTGCACTGTAATTTGAGCACATGGGCCTACAACTTCTCCGCCTCGATCGGAAATGTAGCCGCCGCAGCCGGGATTAAAATCCCGCGACCTGCCGGTCAGCCACCGAGTACCTGAGCCAGTAGATCACCGCAGGTGGCCCTTAAATCCACGTAATGAGTACATAACAAGTTCCGAAAGTTCCCATACACCGAGTTACTATATTTATCTCTTCCTCATTTTCCTTCTCCGCACCCAGGCTTTCCTTTACTACCTTCTTGATATAGTATACCTTGCAATGCTATGCCCTTCCAGTGAGCGCACTTGCTACAGGAAAATGCATAGTTGATAGTTTCCATGATACGTCATTATGATGGTCATTTAGCTAAAAGATACATACGAACAAATTGTATTTTCGTTGGTGAAGTCACCCTTATATCGAAGTTCTAGTGTATAATTGGAAATCGCCGTCACTTGAGGCAATCGCTCTATCGATGAATGCCATTCCTCTAGTGCTATGTGGTCATCATTGGGTGCCATAGCAACAGAATGAAGGCAGTAGTACTCTATAATAAAAAGTGCAGTTTAAACCAACATCGACTTAAAATTCGGTCACTTAATTATTCTCGAGTCACTGCTACTGATGCTAGACACGCTGTCCCAGTGAAATGAGTTTGGCCAACGCATGCACTCGTGAGCAAGTGCGCTTTGCAGCGAGTGCGAAGCGTTCTACTGTGACAGCTTGAAAATGCCACTAATGGCAAAGGGCACTCACTCTAAGTGCACTCGCCTCATCTGACAGGGGCATAAGAACAAAAGATTCACAATATCTTAGATACTACTGCCCAGAATTGGGTCATAGCTTGGTAGCAGTTCTCATCATTTTTTATGACTGCTGCTTTTCCTCTCCTTGGGTACGAGGTCTCATAGGCGTACTTCTAAGTATCCATATCTCTTGCTTTATTTTGGTAAGCATTATTGGTTGGAAGCGGCGGCTGCATTTCCGGTGGAGGCTGAAATGTTGTAGGGCCGTGTGCTCAGATTTGAGTGCACGTTTTTGGGACGTTAAACCCCACATATACATCATCAAGAATTATTGAAGCAATGCGCTGTTGTGATTGCAAGAAATGTCACCGTAAAAGGCATTGCACTCTTGATGTATCATATGCTATCACCGACAAAACAACAAAAAGAGCTGTGAGCTGTGGACATTTTGAAGACAATCGCAGTGTTAGCTCGAAGGCACTTTTGTCTAAGTTCATAGAGCTATTGTTCGGAGTTGACAAGAGGCACCTAAACATGAAGGAGAGCTTTCGCTCTTATTGTCTGGCTGTCTTCATAGGTACCATTCTGAACAACCGATGGGGCCTATTCAACGAATGAACGGCAAATGGCCGTATATGTACAGCAGTCGAAAGCAGCTGAAACTTTTGCATAGTGGGCACATATTTCCCCGTGCGTAGCAGCTGAACTTTGTACATGATGTTATAAAAACAAATTCTCGTTATATCTACCTGAAAATCAGTATATGTGTAAACGACATTGGGCGTCTTTTTTTTAACGCAGCCAGCTGCGATCAGCGAGAAGCCGAAAACAAGGAGGTTCTGGACTCACAAGGTGAGCATGGTAAGCAAACGGTCGCACGTCTCATTTGTAGGCTCGAGAATGCGTTCATCGCTGTGTCAGCCAATCACACGTATACGTCACGCGTCTCTGCAGGTGATAGCTCAGCCAACCCTGTGCAATGAACAAGCGCCATAAAGCATCTGCCACTTCTATCGAATGGCTCAGTTCGATCAGTCTTTTTTTCTGCTTTTAACGTACCACGCCGACGTGGTACGTTAAAAGCAGAGCTTGGAACGTTGCAGTCCAACGGCTTCATTATTGGCTTCATTATTTCACAGAGAAAGCTCTTACGAGACCAAAACTCGGGCCATGCGCTGTGCCGTAGTTGTCCGCCGCCACCGCCGGTGTCCATAACCACTATCGATGAAATCAAAACAAAAAAAAACCTTGTACCAAGGACACAGTGGGGCTTGAACCCGGGTCCGCTTCGTGCCAACCCAGCATTCTACCACTGAGCCACGCCGGTGCTCGGGACAGTTCGCAAAATTGCCTTAGGGAGGCTTGATGTCGGGAAAGGAATCGCGTTACTAAGGTCAATAAAGCGTTCTAGAACAGCAAAAAGAACAACCAGCCGTCACACAATGCAAATAGCGTAACGAGTGGGTCCTGAAATGCTCAAACCCACCACAAAAGCTTGCTCTTGATCTCGCATTAACTGTGGTGCATACCCACTTCAGGCATAATTATTCATCGTCGTTAGCCACTGGATGAACAATTGGCACAAAATTCCTTGCAAGTTTTTAGCGGATACCACGCTTCTCAGAAGAATGACGAAGGATAGCATAGCGAATGCCGGCCTACTACCCAGAAATTATTAATATTGTTGTAGTGGATACCCAGCAAGTGTGTTTGCAGCAGTTACCCAATGAGTGTTTAGTAAATGCTTTGAAAGGCCACTCTTCCAGCTATCGCTGTGACTGTGCTGCGCCTTCCACGCAGGCCTGGCGTTTTTTTTTTCTAGCTCTTTCTCCATCCTATGAAAATGCACAACATAAAACATACATTTCTATGAAGCCGCCTGTCTGAATGGAAAACTTTAGCAAAATATGATTCCCCAGAATGACTTTACTCATAATTCTATTTTCCCAATCACACTGTATTGCAAAGTACTCCCGTAATTTTGGCTTCATTTAGAACACCATGGCGAATAATAATAATAATATAATAATAATAATAATAATAATAATAATAATAATAATAATAATAATAATAATAATAATAATATATTAATATTATATATTAATATTATATATTAATATTATATATTATTATTATTATTATTACTATTATTATTATTATTATTATTATTATTATTATTATTATTATTATTATTATTATTATTATTATTATTATCTGCATGCACAGATACACAATGATCCTGAAAAAAGAGGGAGAGAACAATTTGGGACACAACGCCTGCCTATACTATTTTGGGGAAGAGATTATAGGAGGAGAGAAACAGGAACGAAGATAGGAAGGAAAAATACGTGACGAAGACTAGCACAAAAATAAATAAAAGCATGGCCAGATCCTTTTGACTGTGTGAAGGCAGTCAAGAGGGCGGATAAGGGACTTGCTCAGACGTCACAATTAAGAGGTAATAAGAAAAAAACCTTGTAATCACGTATGTTTACAGGAGATGTTTTGGGGAGTGGCCACATACTCCTTTGAGTTGATTTACGTGCAATATGATATAATGGACACTAGAAGGAAGTCTTTGTTCTCCCGTCTCTTAGTGAATATTCCTGCGTTAAAATTTTCAATAAGGTGATCAATTTGTTGCAGTGGCCGCTCTGGAAGAGATGGCGCGTCGAGCGGCCTCCTCAGCGTTGGTGCCCCCTCGTGGAGGCTTTTCGTGGATCCTGTGGCTTGTGCTGTTGCCTATTAACACTCTACTGTTCATCACCGTGCCAGACTGCAAGCGTCACCGCAACTGGTTTCCACTCACGTTCCTCATGAGTACTGCGCACATTTCGATCTTCTCATATCTGCTCGTCTGGACCATCACCATCATAGGCGAGTAACATTCACTGGTGCTACTCATTGACCAGAATCATACAGGCCCGTAAATCACTGTTCACAAGATTAAATGAACTGGGTAGGCAAATGTCCGACGGCTTGGGCACCGCAGCTGCATTTCAGGGTAGCTTGGTAAAACCTCAGCATCGTCCAAAGGTATCGAGAGAAAATTACTATTTTCCCAAACCATAGCACTCTGGGCTACGAAGAAGACACATCTCTTAGAAACTAAACCTCATAGTTGTGCGGGCATCGACCCTCGGACTACTGGCCACCATTCTTATTTGATCTAAGCAGAGCGGATCACTTTACTGGGCTGATTTATTATAGGCAGAAAAAAAATAAGCCAAACGAATTCCTTGCTTCGGCACCTTGTGGCTTTCCGCAAAACGAGTTTTTCTTATTTGTTGAACAGCTATGCGAATGTGCAATTTGCTCCTGATCACTCGTGGTCGGGAAACATTTAATTAACAAGTCCTGACACATCAAAACGTTAATAATATATGCGCAGAAAGATTCATATATTATTAAACTGTCAAAACATTACTCGCACCAATATTTCCAATATGCCACCATGGTCTCGTTTCCTTGAAGAAAGTGCAGCATAGCGGACGAAAAAGATAAAAAAAAGGCTTACGTTCTACTTCCACTCGTCTGCTCTCCGCAAACATAATAATATGTAGGATTTTACGTCCCAAAACCTTGATATCAATGTGGGAGACGCTGTAATTTTGACCATGTAGTGTACTTTATAGTGCACTGACATCGCAGTGTACTGGACCACTACCATTTCATATCCACGGAAATGCGACTGCCGCTGCCAGGTCGAACCCGTTCGGGTGAGCAGCCGAGCACTTTAGCCGTTGATGCACCGTGATGGAGTCTGCGTAAAGTTAGCAACAGGCTGTAGATATTAAAATGTGTGAGCAATATAATTAGCATGTGGCTGCGTGAACAAAGCTTGCTTATTTTTGGCCAAGGCTTCTACATCGCGTAGCTTGGATCAGCCTCATGTTTTGCTTCTTCGTTTTTTTTTTTTTGCCCATTCAAGTGTTTCCAACTATAGGTTCCTTCTTTGCACTGTGGTAGTAACATAAACAATGCTTAAAGCTGAACTTTTGGCAATCTAGAGAATTCCGCATCTGGCTGCATAAATTCGCTTCCTATAAATGAATTTGAAGCTTTAAACAAGTTGTAACCATTCCGTTCGGTGAAGATGGGTGACTTGGGAGCTGTCGTCGGCATAATGCGTATTGGTTGAGGTGACTCGCTGGCACCTTGGATGGTGACCGGACGTGCATGTGTGCGTCCCATATAATGAGCTGTCTTCAACAAGGCTTCTCCACATGTAGGGTCAGCACCAAAGATGACCATAATTAAAGTACGCTTGCGATTGAATACTAGGACCAGCTGTGACTGGTACAGCTGGCAATTCTGTAAGGTGCTATACATACGCTATTACGCTATCGAACGAACTACTTAAGTCTGTACTGCAGTGTTGTTGGGATGGCTACTAGAGAAACCTTGAAATGCAGTTGTATTGAGCTGCGTCGGCAGCTCAGCTTCGAAGGTTATTTATGCATTTTGAAGCTCGCGTGCTCAATCTAGTACTACACGCCACAGTTGGCAACACTCACATCATCTAAGGTGATCTAAGCATAGAGTTTCCTAAAATTAACTAGAGGGGACTCTGGCGCTGCGATCGTTCAGCGACCATGGGAATGATGGGTAGTATACACACATTTGCCTAGTCTACGTACTTGCGGGTGGCAAATCGTCCTTGCGGCTTCGTTTATTGCTGTGTTTCGATTTTGTTTTGAAAGAAAGATTCAACTCTTTCAAACTTCGTGACGCGATTTTCAAAGCTAAGCCTAAAAAAATAAGGTGGTGAAGCGCAAACGCTGAACAGTTGCAAATTTATTTTTTTCGTGAAAAAAAAAACAGCTCTAAGCCACAAAAACACACACAGAGCCATAAACAAGCCAGAAGTACAAAAATTAGACAATTGTGTGTACTACCATTCATAGCATCATTTCCATGCTCGCTGAACCGCCGTGCGTTGCAGCTTCCGTGGACACTAGCGCCAGAGTTCTCTCTAGTGTATATTAGGAAACTCTATGGATCTAAGTCGACCCCCAGCTTACACATCGTCACCACTGTAGCCGAGCTCCTATCTTTAGTTATGATGATGCCATTTTATTTTTGCTTGTTGCAAGACAAAAATATGCGTAACCATGAAGGAGGTGCTCGAGACAGAACTGTCTTGGTTACGCGTATTTTGTGTTTCAGGAAGCATATGCCAACTGGCTCAGCAATAAGCTCTGCTGTTTGGTACACGTTATTTTCCTCTTTTGGTATCTATTGTGATTTCTGATTGTTTTTTTTTGAGTGTTATATATCTTTTTTAGTTCACATCTTGCATGGGAGCCACCCCCCCGCTTACAATGTTTAACAATGAGGTTCCTTAAGTATTATCAATTTTGTACACTTTTCTGTAAAATAATATTCTTGATGTTGAATAAACTTGAACCTAAAGTCAAAGCACTCATGCTGCGCTTGTGCCTGCTGGTTATTATACTCACTGTTCGGCGGATGCTCGTGAGTACGTGCCCGTGGCGAACGTGTCGTAAATGCGGAGGCCTCAAGAAAGTCTTTGCCACAAAACGAAAATAATAACAATGACGTCACGCAGCACATGCGTCAGGTAAAGAACGCGAGAAGACTGAGCAGACGATGCCGGAAGCGCGCAAATGAGTGCGTTAAAATTCTGTGAGCTCATATGGTCAAGTTAGCTCGCCTCTTTTCACGCACTAGATGGCGTTAGTCGCATCCGGTGACTTGTCGATGAGAGAGCTCTCCCAAAGCGAAACTGAGGCTTAATTATAATAGTATGTCTGTCGCACACTGCATCAAGAAGTCTTACGAATAAGACGTCATCAGGGACACGTAGCATGAAATATTAAAAGAAAAAAAAACACGAGACCACAGCTTTTTTTTCAGTGTCCTTTCAATATTTCTGTCACTTTAACGGAAAGGGGCAGGGCCAGTGGAATGCACATCTGAAAAATCCGAAAGATCGAAAGGGACCCAGCTCCAGCGAATTGGACCCTTTCCCTGTTGGCAGTGCCAAATAGAGGGACACAGAGTTCCAATTTATGCCGAGGGTTCTCAGCCGTCCCTAAGGGAAGTACGAAAGAATGCAAGAGCTTGGTACGCCAGCTGCCCGGCATTAAAACTCGGTAATGCAATAGGGAACATTGGTTTACCTGCAGGATTCACTCTAGGCGTTCCTGATAATGTGATGGGGCTGACGTTTCTGTCTATCGGAGTGACACTTCCCGATGTGGTCGCCAGTCTTTTGGTGGTGCGCAGAGGTGAGTGGATGCACATAATTGTGCCAACGTTTTTGACAAACAGCTTGGGGTTGGTGACACAATGACCGCCACTGAGGCCTATTTATTACAAGTTCCTTTTTCTCTTAAGAGATAGGGTTGGAGCGTGTCATCACTGAGCAAGATGCAGTGCGCAAAAAGGTTGCACTCCTCCCATCGTCATCTGTTACCATGTTAGTTTCTACACTTGTATTTTTCTTATCAAGTTCCTCCATCGACACATTTCGCTATAGACTGACATACAGGCAATTTGTGCACGCATGTCAGACTGTTTCACCTTCAACATTATCTTCCTATTCATCTAAATGGTTGAAATTAGTTTTTTTTTTTGCCCTGAAAGAACGTACATGATTACTCTCTCTTTCGTCTGAGATAACTGTTTCGCTCTCGTTCCCCGTCTTTATCAAAACTTTATGCTAGTACCATACCTCACAATAATCTAGCTACCAGACGAATTTTGTTTTCAAGCCTGGCATATTTACTTTTCGTATTCTTCGAAAATCTGCATAATTCTGACATTTCTGATATCGTTTCTGGCAGAGTTTTTTATGGAGCTGTGGCCAGCATCTCCATGAATATCAGGGAAACTTAGTTCTGTACAACATCCAGTACCTGGTTCTCAATCTTAATGCTTTGCGCTTTACCTATTGTCATACCTTTTGGTATTTTTTATGTTTAGCAGCAGACCAGCGTTTTGGCTTCCTTTTAGTTTTATAATGAGAATTTTTTAGTATTGGATGTTTTGGAATGCTAATACAGTATTATATATTATAGAATTAGTTTTTACCTTTGTTTAACCAATATTTGCTCTAATAACAGTTTTCTAGGTCGTAATATAAAAATTATAGGAGTAAATATATTGTGTATAGCGAGTATGGCAAGAGAATATCTTGTATGACTTATACCATCTTAAACTAATCTATACTAATGTTTGTTGCGATGAGCATTTCTTGTCCTGTGTAGAGGTTTCTTAATAGAATTATGTTCAGAAATGCCAGCTTTCCAAAGAGATGCCCAGAGCTTGGTTTAATAGACGGTGTCAGAAGTATTTCCGAAAACAAAAAGCCAGAAATACGAATGGTTTTGGTACTGTTTATAGGTTTTACATCTCATGTTTGCAATAGGGTCTCTCTCCCGATGCTCATTTCTCCAAGTGGCTGGCTCTGTCGCCACATCTTTTTCCGCGTAATTGTCTAGCTTCTTCTGCAATACCTTGGGTAGTGTACTTCTTTAACAGAAGAACCAATACAAGCTGAAATGGTGTTCAAATCACTTGGTGGATAAAGGAGACACGTTTTAACAGCTCGAAGCACGTGCTTCGCCCACGTCGCATTCTAAACGTAGGCTGCGTCCAGGGCAGAAAATGAGCAAGTGATTTAATTTGTGTTATCACAGCGCTGTGGGAGGGCGATTCATGGTTTGGCGTTGTGAGGAGCGGCGAGAACACGACGATTTAATGAATTCAATCGTCCTGCTGTAAATAGTTTTATGTAGTCCACAGATCAATTGTTGAAGGCTACGACGCAGTCATTTACAACAAGGATTTCTCACCTGAGGCGTTCAGCCTGAGTGGGCCCAAATAGTAAAAAAAGGATGGCAGTGATTGGGAAGGGGAATAGTTTGAGCAAAATTTCAGATAGGCAAACGACAAAAAAAAACACTCTTTCTCCGCAAAGACGAAGCAATGAATGCGTTACCAACAACACTGTCGAAATTTGGGCTTGTTGGTGCATTGTGACGACTGAAAATAGCGCTAAGAAACGGGGACACAAGAAGAGGACACACGGCACAGCGCCTGTGCCGTGTGTCCTCTTCTTGTGTCCCCGTTTCTTAGCGCTATTTTCAGGCGTTACCAACAAGTTGTAGTATCTTGCGAAGTAAGGCTAGCAGCTAACTCTTTTGCATTCAATCTCCCTAAACTACGAAACGCTGGTGTAAGGAGATGCTGCCTTTTCGCAGAGAGAAGCAGTTTTAGATGCGGAGCATCTAATACTCGAGGCTTGTAGTGCGGCGCCGTCCGCAAGCTTCCTCCTCCTTCTTCCACCATCTGTGCACCCTTCCTCCTCTACACACCGCGTGCGCTTCTCCTCGTCACGAACATTCGCTAACTGTATAATGTAGCGCGCATGCGCCGTCACGCTTCGAGAACATCGGCAGCTGACGCGCGCGCATGCGCCGTTGCGCTTCTCCCCCTTCTCGAACATTCGACAGCTGACGCGCGCATGCACCGTCACCCACCATCTGTGCCGCGCGCGCTTCTCCCCTTCGAGAACATTCTACAATTCTCCTGATTCTCCAGTGGACGCGCATGCGCCGTCGCGCTTCGAGAGCATTCAACAGCTGACAGTGCATGCGCCTTCGCGCTGTATATATACTCAAGGTCGGCGCTCGCTCGCTCAGTTGCCGCTCGTCGGTTGGTTTGTACGGCGCGTCGACGTCCAAGGTCGCGGTGAAATGAATTCCAACGAATCCACAAACACAATGATCGACGTCCCTTCGACCAGCGCCGCCCTTTCGCATACGTGTGTACGTGTTCACTCATTTAACACCCCCTCCTACAACCACGTTAACCAATTTAGCCATCGACCCAAGTAAGTCGCAATTTAACACCCCATTTCACAACCACGTTAACCAATTTAGCCATCGACCCAAGTAAGTCGCACTTTAACACCCCGTTAACCAATTATATGCTCCGCATCCTCTTCAGTGTTCCCCCGAGGGAAGCTGCGGGCAATTTTTTTTTGTGCAGTCTGTCGTTCGAATGCGAAGCGGTCAGTGCCCCGCCGCGGTGGTCTAGTGGCTAAGGTACCCGGTCAGACCTGCAGGTCATGGGATCGAATCGCGGCGGTGGTGGCTGCATTTCCGATGGAGGCGGAAATGTTGTAGGCCTGTGTGCTGAGATTTGGGTGCACGTTAAAGAACCCCAGGTGGTCGAAATTTCCGGAGCCCTCCACTACGGCGTCTCTCATAATCATGTAGTGGTTTTGAGACGTTAAACCCCACATATCAATCAATCTATCAATCAATCAATCAAATCGCGAAGTGGTAAGTACACACACCGTAGAATGATATACGATCCATTGGCTCATCTCTGGCGAGATAACACGCGCGCCGGCATTCGTTTATAAATATATCCCCGAATAGGCTCAAGTACGTAGGCTCTGTGACCGACTTGTTAAGCGTGTTTATACACGACGGATGATTCGGCGGAAATCTCTGCTGCTGTCAGTGGCTCCACCGGTCGTCCGGCTGCGAAGCGTATGCAGACCAGAGGTGTGCACCGGCTGAATTTTCGAGCTCGATCTCGGCCCGGGCCGGGTGACTGACAGCACCGGTGTCGACGAGGGCGTTGACCTCATGATTGTCGACGAAGACGGCGATTTCGGCAGAAACGATCTTTCTGCTGTCGGAGAACACTACGAAACCGGAATGGTCCTCGTCGGGTCGTTACGTCAAAGGAGGATCTTCAACAGTTCGCCAGCCCACGACTTCACCCCCAGAAGTCACCGTTCCTAGTTTCCCCTGGCGAGACTTGGTGACTAGCTCCTGAAACGAGCGGAAGACGATGAGGACAAACTGGGTGACAGACCGGCGAGACGATGGTGATCTCGACTGGTGGTGCTAAAGAGTCGAAGGAGTTCACTGGCCCCTGAGATAGGCTTCGATTTCGCAGGGGCGCTCACCATAGCATGGGCATCAAGCATCAGGGTGGAAGCCACGGAGACGTAGTTGGCAGTATTGACAGTTCTGGTATAAGTGACCCGCTTCGCCGCAGTGATGGCAGAGTGGACGGTTATTCGAGGTCAGCCACGTGCTTGCCTCGCTACCACTTTGTCTTGTGGTAGACAGCAGATAGGAGGGTGTACTCGGAAACCTTGAGCCGAGAGGTGAACGCGAAGCAGTGTCTTGGAATCGTTGCTTTGCTTGGTACCTTGGCCACATAGCAGGATCTGTCAGCCGCATAAACGCATAAAAGATATCTTTTATACATAAACGCATAAAAGATATCTTTTATGTGTTTTATCTTTTATTTTTAAACAACGTGCTCGCCACGTGCTCGCGCATGGAAACGATATCTTTTTACACGTGTATCAGGTGCCCTTCAAATTGTGTGACTTGCATTTATATATGCCCATATTTCGCCTTTCACGCCGATTTCATATCTTTAGGTTATTGATATGCACATGTATATAAACAGCACTTATGTCATAAACTGCATTCTGATGAAGGCCGGACCGGCGGCCGAAACGTCAATAAAATCACTTAGTACGTGCGTCTTCTTCACTGCGGATATATATATATATATATATATATATATATATATATATATATGTTTTATGTCTTTTCTTTATGAAATTGTCACCCTCTCTCCCTATCACATTTATCACTGGCCCGAACACGAAAAGAAAAAAAAAACCGTCTGCACTGTGCCCAATGCTGCCTCCGGTCTTGTATCGCAATGCACGTGGCAGTCGCTGTTTCATTGAAGTTTATTTCTTTCGTTTCTTTCTTTCACTCCTCCCCTTTTTTTATGGTACCATCCAGCCATTGCTTAATGTCCATCGTAGTCACCAATCGCCTGTTCAAGCGCCCTTCGTGCGTGAGAAGCCTTCACTAATTCGTTCAACTTACATTTGAGGGCACTCAAAGCGCCGCGCGTCAGGCGGCAATCACGTGTTATTTTTTTAATTTCGCGCACTTTAAGCAAATCGTGAAAAAACTAACCAGCGTTGTTGTCTTTTCGTAATTTGAAAACATTGTTATTTCTGGATAGGAGCTATAAGTATTGTATTGAAGTTTTTTCTCTAGAGTCAGCGTACAAAAAGTTCATTAAGAACTCTTTGTTAATTACCGTGCTTTGGAGATAAAAAATATTTTGATTGATTGATATGTGGGGTTTAACGTCCCAAAATCACTATATGATTATGAGAGACGCCATAGTGGAGGGCTCCGGAAATTTTGACCACCTGGGGTTCTTTAATGTGCACCCAAATCTGAGCACAGGGGCCTACAACATTTCCGCCTCCATCGGAAATGCAGCCGCCGCAGCCGGGATTCGAACCCGCGACCTGCGGGTCAGCAGCCGAGTACCTTAGCCACTAGACCACCACGGCGGGGCTAAAAAATATTTTGGTGTGCTACATACAGCTATGAACAATACTGCGGTCGCTGGAGAGACGTAGCACTCATTTTTAATTCTTTATTGCTTGGTGCTTTTTACCTGAAACACCCTGTTTATGCAGCATTTAACTTTCACTAACCATTAGGGGGAACCGATGAAGTACTCGCTGGTCGTTATGCACGTCAAAAAGACTAAGCGGAGTTTGTGCTCTTATCTTGTTCTTTCTATTTTATCATATCTGATCATGTCAGGATTCGGCGATATGGCGGTGTGCAACGCACTCGGGAGCAACATCTTCGAGATTCTGGTGGGGCTCGGCCTTCCTTGGTTTATCCAGACTGTTCTGCTGACTCCAGGAAAGCCAGCCACGGTTCAAGGCAAAGGCAAGCTGCAGTTATCACTCATGCATGTTTTACAGGCCGAACCAGCGCATGTCCACAATGTTGGACAGGTATAGCGTAGTGGTATTAGCGGAATAGCGGAATCAAAATGCGCATGTGCACTACGATATAAGACTCGTACCATTTACTATACACACACACACACACACACACACACACACACACACACACACACACACACACACACACACACACACACACACACACACACACACACTTTTTCAAATTTTTTAGCCTGCCATGTTTTTGTGGTTGAAATGGGGACATACAATACGGCGGTGGTTTTTGACAACCCCCGTCAACGGAATTTTCAGCTGCCCTCATCTTCGTACAATGAACACATGTTTATTTGCTGTTTATTTGTCGTTATCTCATGTACAAAAATACATAATACGTAAAGCGTCACGAAGTTCCAAAGTGAGTAACTGTCAAGAGGAGCTCCTATAATTCATGGGGTACATAAAAGGTAATTACCAGCGGCAAAAGTAAACAGAGAAAAATAAAAATATGCTTAAAGAAAGAACAAAAGGCACATATTTACCAAAGCAACATTATACAGCAATAAAAAAGCACATAGGTAGGAAGTACAAAACCTTTGTGTTCATGTGGATGGTGTCAGTTATTTCGTGGCAAACAACTCCTGCTTTCAGGTAGCTCCAACAAAGGAGTATTTGAGATAACTTATTGCGGTTTTCGAGAATTCGATACCGAACATCTCTAGGCCTAACTAGAAGATCAGGGCAAAGAAATCTGCGACATGAAAATTTGTGCAATTGGTGCGTAGTTCCTATTTGTTTACTTTTATTGTTACTAAAAATAGTAATATTGGTGTGTATGGGGATACATGCGAGGATCCTCGGTTTGTTCTCTTCACCTTTTTATTCCATTCACCCTCCACTACGTGTCGCCACCGCCACAGCTTGGGTACGTAACCGCTATCCCGCTATACTAAAACACGCTGTCTGAAAGATCGTTTGCGTGACAGTAATGGTATTTCCTTAGCCCCCTCGATCACGCTAACGCTAAACTATAACTGCCTAACAGGGGCCGCGCCAAAGGTGGGCCCAGAGGAACTTGAGCCTCTTGAAATTTCCGCCAGCCCTCTTGTCAACCCCCAAGAGGGAACATAGTCGTAACACAATAACTAAGTTCCCCGCTTCTCTTCCACCTTCCCCCTGAAGGATCTAATTGTGTTAGACACACTCATTTTGTGTGTCTAACAAGGTTTAAATTAGAGTAGCACGTGCACTCCTTTAAAAAGTCTAGCTGTCCGAAGGTACAGCGCCTGGAACAGGGAACCAAAGAAAATCGAAGACAGTGGGTTGTTGGCGCGAGTGAAGCGTGTTCTATGTGATTGTAAAAGAGACCTGAAGATGTCGCGTAAGCATTGCGCTCCTTACAGGTCCAAGGAATACCGAGAGTGAGTAAAAGAGGGTGATAGGTATATGATGGGGCAAGATCTTGGACCCCGAAGGGAACCCTGATCAGATGCGAAGCATCAGCGTTGTGCACAAGTGGCATCACGGGTTGAACGGCACTCACGTGAGTGCTGCGCTGAGCTCTGGAAGATTTGTTTGAAGTGGTGGCTGGCGTAGGTCTTGTAGGTGACGCGTAGGTTAGGCGCACGTGTCAGATTCATTGTGCGTGAACCAACGAGTCAGCGGTGTAGCGAGTGGCAGTCGTTGCAGGTGTTGCGGAGGAACTGGTGGTGGTGGTAGTGGTTAGAAGATGAGAAAAGGCACCTAATTTCTGCAACCCAGTCGCGAGCATGGCGCAGTGCCTTCGGGAAAGGGAAAGGGAGAAAATTGGAAAGAAGAGAAAAAGATTAAGTGAGCAGTGGCACGATCGTCATCAGCACGAACAGCATTCTGGAAGCAAGGGTAGGGGTTGCAAGAAGCCCGTCTTCAGCGGTAGGCCACAATTCCCATCTCGTCCAGGAACTCTACCAGGCTCCGGAGCGCTGGTAGATGGGGACGAGATGGGAACAGCAGGTGCTCTAGGGTGGTGGCAGGAAGGCCAGATGAACTGACGAGGCGGCAGCTGCGGGTGCAGCGGCGAGCGCGTGGCAGGTGAGAAAGGGAGTAACGTCAGCGCGCACCGCTATAGGGGAGCGTGATGTTAAGCGCAGCACCATTATGGTAGCACCGGTATGACTAACTGGGGCAACGCGTCAACACCTATGGCACACGACGCGTTGTACGGAGGGACAGCGTTGCACAGGCTAGTCAAAGAGCTGCTTCGCATCTAAAAGTCTTGGCCACAAAGGGAAAGAAGAATGATGAAATAACGAATCGCAGATTGTCATAGAATACAATAGGAGCGATGTGCTTCGAGGTCAGCGGAAAGGGGTAATGATTGTGGGCTTACATTAGGAAAGCCATGGCACCTAGATATTTTTGTGCGTTCACTTTTTGAAGCATGGTGCCTTTGATGCTATACTCATAGTTGATAGCTTCTTTCTTTTGCATTATTGACATGCAGACAGTTTTTTCCGGGATTAATCTACATGTGCCACGTGTCGCACCAGTTGGAGAAAAGGTTTAAGGAATCACTCAATGCAAGGTAATCTGAATTAGTGTTAGTTTCTTTGTAAATAATGCAGTCGTCGGCGAAAATCCGAATGTTGCAAGTGACATTATCTGTGATGTCATTATTAAGATAAGAAATAACAAAGGCCCTAAAACAGAGCCCTGCAGGTACTCCGGACGTAACAGGTAGTATTTGTGACGGAACTTGCTCTAACAGGACATATTGGGAACGGCCAGTTAAAAAGCCTTCAATCCAACTCCTTAATGATTCATTTCCAATGACAGTTCATATTTTTGCAAATAATTTGCTTTGGCATACGGTGTTATATGCCTTTTAAAATCTAGTATTATAATCTGTATAAATCTAGCAAACAGCGGAAGAGCGCGTGAAGCAACCGCATAATCATGTAGGCTCACGGCGGCGGGCATCGGAGAGTCCGTGCCATGACGTCACCCAGGCCTCCTACCAGGAGGCGCAACTTCAACTTCTCGGGGCTGATAGCACATGTATTCCTCCGCGAAGAAGTCGGACTCGACGCGAACAAGCCGGGCTCGAATGCCCCCTGTGTTGGAATAATACCACTGCAAATAATTCGCTCTGCTTACACAACAATTTGTGAGTGAAATTCGACACAAGCTCCATCGGCCAGTCGTCGGAACAGCTGGAGGGTGGCGCTCACTCACCTCTTCGAAACGAAGACGCCATTTTAACTGTGAGGTGCACCTAAAACGCGCAACGTTTTCAGACGGGCAAAAACACAAAATTGCACTTCACGAAGCAAAACAAATATGATTATCTCTTTGGTTTGTGCAGAGTCTCTTTACAAAGAGCATCCTATATTTATATAAACAGCGCGCTGCCTGCCGAGAAAGAGAGCGCTTGCACGGCAGAGCATTCGCGTTCGCTGTCTAACTCATCCTAAAATTATATCTTAACGAGTGTAACGTTCACCTATGACAGCTCCGTTTAGTGCCACGCGGAACGCATCCTTGTAATCAGGCCTTGATCGAGTCACTCGGCGTCGCAGTAACTGCAGATGTTATAACTTCGTGCGCAAAACCCCTTAGTGTGTATGTTCCTAAACATAAAATGTGATCGTTAGTGAGAACCACCTTTTTTTCTTGGGCCATTGTTTAGCGTTCTCCGAATATATTTTACACTGTAAATAACTTCTCTCAAACGTTCATGTGCGGCTGCTATGGCTTACCTATCTATTAGCTGGCGCGATAGTGCCCAAAGGAACAGTGCGACTGGCTTTCCTTACTCAGCGCATGGGTGGTGCAAGCTTCACCGTACATGGGGTATGCCATATGTGGTGAGATCATTCGCAGTGACTGCCGTGCATTGGAAGCAACAGCTCGCGTTGACGCAGTCGACGGGGCCCCGCCGCGGTGGTCTAGTGGCTAAGGGACTCGGCTGCTGACCCACAGGTCGCGGGATCAAATCCCGGCTGCGGCGGCTGCATTTACGATGGAGGTGGAAATGTTGTAGGCCCATGTGCTCAGACTTGGGTGCTCAAAAAAGAACCCCAGGTGGTCGAAATTTCGGGAGCCCTCCACAATGGCGTCTCTCATAATCATATATATGGTGGTTTTGGGACGTTAAACCCCATATACCAACCGAGGCAGTCGAAGGGGGATGGCGATGTCGCCGGCGGCCAATTTTCGCGTTTGGTGTTGTTGCATCTAAGGCCTCAATATTGTGTCATAAGGCGCACATAATTTATAGTTGATACATTCGAACAGCTGTGGTTGTTTCATGAAGTGGTTAGACGCACCATTTGTATTTCGGGAGTGCGCCTTGTGGACGTATCTCACAGACGAACGGTACCACTGAAAGATTGAGCTAGTGTGTGCATTAACTAGCGTGCCACCATATATACTTTGCGAGAGCTCCACTAGCGGATACACACCTTCACATAAAATAGGAAAAAAAACTACCACGGGAAAGGACACGTGCGCGTGAGGTTCTTAAACGACACACGCACCCAATGACTCGAAGGCATGAACGCTTTGCATAGCTGCCGTTTCATCTCGAGTGCCACGGCTGATCGTTCAACGTAAAATAGCCACAGAAATTTGCTCTGACATATACCAGCACGCAACAGAAACCAACGGAGAGTACCAATCTTAAGGTGGGTCGCTGCAGCCGAGTTTTGTTCATTCAAAACAGCAGCGCGAATCTCTGAAGTTTAGCAATAATAATGTCGAGCGTATTTTCAAGCGCATACTAAGCGCGCCAACCAGTGCAGCGAGCTCAAACTAGTCGGCGCAAAACGATAAACAGGACACGTCAGCATGTGTTGACAAAAAAAAAAAAAACTGCCCCCGCAAAAGCGTTAGTTAAAGCCGAGTAAGAAATCGTGACGTAATACACAATTACCTGCGACTTGTTTGCGGTGTTAGAGCATGCATTGAGTTGAGAAAACATCGAACCATACTCATCATAACAGA